TTTAATGAAGGAAGACAACACAGGAAAGGAAGCTGGAAATCAAGGATGGGGGAAGTAAAAGGGAGGGGCATACAGCTGTAGGCATCAGGAATAAGTCCAGAGTGCAGCTGTGGAAAAGAAAGAGATGGCTTTCTTACATGCAAGTTCCTGGGAACCTCTAAGCAGAGGGAGAGAGAGCTCCCGGGGGTAAGGGACACTGATGAGATGTCAGTTGCAGGTCTGAACCGACAGTGTCATCATTCCATTTTTTCACAACTCACTCCAGTAAAATATTCTTAATGTAAAATAAAGGTCTAAGAATACCCACCAGGTATTATTTTCTTAGAAAATAATATTTTTCACTAGACTGTGAATTCCTTGAGAGCAAGGCATGACTTTTGCCTTTTATTAGATCCCCAGGGTTTAGCACAGGATATGGAACATAGAAGGCTCTTAATAAATGCTGATTGACTAGTCAGAAACCATTTTCAACAATGGGAAGGCCAGCTTATTTCTTCCTCTCTGTTTCCTAGAACCTCTTTCATTCTTATTCCTGAGCTGATCAGGAATAGCTCAGCCATGTCTCAGAACAATCCCTTCACAAAGTGATGAAAAACAGAAAAGATATTTACAGAGTCTCAGTATCTAGCCTGGGGCCTTGCACGTAGTAGGCACTTGATAAATATTTACTGAACTGGCTCACTGGAGCCAAATGCCTTGTGCAGATTTCCACTACTCATGAGTGCCAGTCACAGATCCTGTCTGTGGACTCACATTGTACAGATCCAGTGTGGTAGTTAGCAGCAGGCCTATTCTCAGATGAGGTTATCTGGAACTGGCCCACTGATTCCAACTGAGACTGCCTGATAAGCGTATTTACTGTGGGCAATTTCCTGCATCTTAGCGTTCATAATGTCCCTTTATCTAGCAGTAAGACCAAAAGGGGGAAAAAGGAGGATTTTTTTTCCAGCTGTTAGACTGACTATGCAATGAAGGATTTGAGTTTATGTAAATTATGATTATGTAAATTATAGTCACATCTCAGTAAATTAGTCTGGTAGAGAGACACAGTTGCAGTACGATATGAAAAAAAAAGTTGAGTTTAATGGTGGTGGTGATAATGGGTCAAACTGTAATATGTAGGGGGCCAAGCTTCCCTTTGGGGTGGGGCAGAAATTGATTCACCAAATGCAGAGGAAATTCCTTTTTGCAGGGAGAGGGGGTAAGGCTGGTGGTGGGTAAGAAGGGAGTTTCATATTCCATAGTTTGTGTATATAGAGTATCAGGTTAGATGTAGATAATGCCTGAGGGGTAAGGGCTAGGAGGAAAGTATTTTTCTGGGCTGTAGATTACTGTACCCTAATTAAGGACTAGATAGCAGATTTTAGTAGCCTTTCCGGAAAAATACACTGCAGAGTTTTGTATAAAATCCCCCTTTAAACCACCTTAGATGGAGATCTATTTTTAGGAAAAAGTAGGTGGGAGAGGAGCCGGCCAGAGAGGAATTCCTGTGGTTTTTACCTCAAAGAGTCCTTGGGCATTAGAAAGACCAGTGAAGCTAAGGAAATTGGGGAAGGCAAAAATCCAGCAGATTCAAAATACCACTTGCTGATAATCAGCCTAGGGCAAGTGTGGGGCAATCATACCAAAGGGATATTTTGAGGATTGGCATTGGACCCTTATTCTGTCAGCCCAGGCAATAAGGGATTATAGGGTAGCCCAGTCCCAGTGGCTAGATCCAATTTAGAAGTGGACTACTGAGAAAAGCAAGGGTTTATCATTCAACATGCTGACCTATTTTTAAATCAATTTGAAAAATAACTTTGAAGCATTTTGTTTTGACTTCACAATCACTTCTCGGTAACTCTTTTGATACCTTCAATTAAAAAACAGGCAAAAAAAGCTAAATAAAATCAGTTGATATAGCAATTGCTACTAACAGAACATAGGATCATATAACCTTCCATAGTTATAGTTTATCATTTCTTAATGGAAAAGGAGGAATTGTGTTTGGATATCAAACATCTAAAAGCAACATTGGTTGCTGCATATATATGTGTGTGTGTGTATATATATATATATATATATATATATATATATATATATATATAATATAATATATATATAATTATATTATATAATTATATATATATATATATATATACACACATATAAAATCATTATTGTTATTTTGCTCTACTTTATCATGAGTCTTCAGGTGTAATGGCATATATACATATATATATGTATATATATACATATATATATATATACATATATATATATATATGGTCCACACACATACATTTTTCATATCTAAACTATTTCTACAATATCATATGTACTTATTACATATACTTTCTATTAATAAACTACAAAATACACCAGTTGGAGCAAAGGTTAAAAGAAAAATCTAAGTACAAATTGATTTCCTAGTCATTAAATTATAACTGTTACTGAAACTGTTACTCTTAATATCTTTCTCCCACCTTTAGGCTTCTGGGATTGTCAGTTCCGATTTATATTCAGAAACTTTTTGGAATATTGATACCTTCACATCTCTTCGCTATTTACAATGCACATTAAGGGTCCCAACTGCTCTAATTTCTCTTTGTCTAAGCTGCTTCTCTAGCCAGCTGTAGTTAGAAACCTCTGATTCTTTCTTTTCCTTTTTCTCTATTGTCTGAGTGATCTGAGATGCTTTTTAAAAGGGATTCACTTAACATAAGTGTACTTTAATTCTTCCTAAATTACTTGCTCAGAGCCTCTCCCTCAAGAGTGAATACATTTTTCATTTTACCATCAGATATCTTAAAGGGGACAGAACCAAGAGTTAACTGAAAATATTTAAGTATTTTAAGTGATAGCTCCTACTTCCTTATAATAACAAATATTCTCCCCCCTTTAAAGAAGATATCTAATCATACTGACAGCTACTTTTTAAATCCACAGTCTTAGTGACCACAGAACATTGCTTTATGGCTGTCTGAGAGAAACCTACATCTGCCTTAGCATTGTGCATGTAGAATATTCACAGACTCTGTAATCATTAACTTGAATGTTGAGGGCAGTTAGAGCACCCAAGCAGTGTGTGTGTGTGTGTGTGTGTGTGTGTGTGTGTGTGTGTGTGTGTGTGCGAGTGTGTGTGTGCGTGTGTGTGTGCGTGTGTGTAAGAGTTTTCAGTTTGGAGAAGCAAAAGCCCCTTCCCTACTTCATAAATCATTACTAGCAATTACATTTCTTTTATCATGAAGCTGCCTAGATAAAACAGACAAGAAAACAAATTATTTCTTTCACATGTATTCCAGAAGGTGTCCATGCTGAGAACAGAAAAAGAAACAAAATTCAAGCAAATTTGCCATTGAAAGACAGCAAGGGAGAATAAGACTGGATGTTCCTAGGAAAAACTTGACCTGCTAGACTTCCTTCCTTACACTTGTTTGCATTTATAAACTGTAGGCATCTTCTCCTTTTAGAATTCAACAGAAATGGGAGCTGCATTTGGCTGCAAAATCCTCTACTCATATATATTTTTAAATGTAATTTTCCAAAATCAGGCTAAAATGCCCCAAAGACAGAAAACCATAATCCATAGTAATCAGAGTGAATTTACAACACAGGATAAAGCTTTTCTGAAACGGTGTTTAAGAACTCTAAGAGTAAAATAAATACAAGAGTCTTCCAGGGCAATTTTCCCTTTAAAAAAAAATGGAAAAAACACCCCTCCTCTCATGCATATTATATGCAAGGTCATTTTCCATATCACTTGCATTATAACATATTAAGCTTCCAAAACAGAGTTCTTTGTCATCCCAGGTTTAAACTTAGTGAAACATGAGTTTCACCAGTGTCCTTAGATTAGCTCACTTAAGATCCCAAGATACCAGCTCAGCATATCACAGTGTTTTTTTTTTCTCATAAGGTAAAGAGTTCTCTGTCAATAGAACTGTTTAAGGAGAGAATGGATGGTTGCATAGCTCTCAGGAATATTACAGAAGGCATTTCTGCATTAGGGTAGAAGACCAGACTGCCAACTACTCCTATTATAAGTCATTCCATCTTCCAGATGTTTCTGGAAGTCACTCCCTCCTCAACCCCCCCCCCCCCCGTAATCAGAAACTTCCTTCAAAGCACAGCTCAGGTACTCTTTCAAGAGGTCTTTCTTGATTTCCCCAGTTATTAGTTCCCTCTCTCTGTTAAAGTTGCTGGTATTAGTGTGTCAGTAAACAAGTTGTATCTTCCCCTGCTCCTACTTCACACTCCTCAGTAGAATGCAAGCTCCTTGAGGGCAGTGACCGTTTTGCTTATCTTGTTTTGCTTTGTCTTGAAAACTCAGTACCTAACATGGTACCCTGCACATAGTAGGAGCTTAAAACATGTTTGTTGAATCTGACCAGTTGGATGCTAAAGTTGCTTCTAACTCCAGAGCTTCTAGCTAATGTTCCTATACTTTCCTTATAATACTGGTCTCTGGCAGTTGGCTACATATTTCTAAGCACTGTGATAAGCCTAAAAATGGCTGAGAAGAATTGGACTTAGTTGTATTTTTAAATATCACTCTTTTGGAAAATAGCCATCACACCTGAAGACTCATGGTGAAGTGGGGCAAGATAACAATAATGATAATAGCTAGCATTTATTGTACTTTAAAGTTGGCAAAGGGCTTTACATATGTTATCATATTTTATCCTCATAACTATCCTGAAAAGTAGGTGCTATTATCTGCATTTTACAGATGAGGACACTGAGGTGGCATTGCTGTTCAGTCATTTCAGTCGGCTCCAACTCTTCATGACTCCATTTGAAGTTTTCCTGGTAAAGATACTGGAGTGGTTTGCTATTTCCTTCTCCAAGGAAACTGAGGTAGCCAGAGGTTAAGTGATTTACCCAGGGCCACACAACTAGGAAGTGTCTGAGGCAGAATTTGAATTCAGGTTTTCCTCACTCCAAGTCTAGCACTCTGCCACTGGGCAACCTAACTGCCCAAAAGTAGTTTTTAGTGATAAAATTCCAACACTTACCACAATGAGGGCAACAACAGACAATGTATAGTAAGTTGAATCTCTCAGGAGACACCAAGAAGATAGAGACACAACCTATGAGAGACAGAAAAACATTGTATTTTTAGGCTAATAGATGAGGCACAATCTTTGAATTGAAATATAATTAAAAACACTCATAATATTTCCACCAGACCTAATCAATCCATAACTCTCTTGCAGTTTCTATGGGTGGGGGAGGGATAATGAAAAGGGAGAGAATTTGGAACTGAAAATAAAAATTTAATTAAAATAAACCATCTGCAATCTGAAAAAAAAAATCTACTAGATATAAACTAAAGCACCATACTAGGTATTATGAGGAACACAAAAAAAGTCTAAGATATGGACACTCCCCTCAAGGAACAGACAAATTTAGCTGGAGACACATGAATGATAAACGCAATCAGTAAACCACACAAGACTAGAGGGCTTAATGTTAAATTGAGTGGTACAGAATACAGTTGGTCTAGGTAGGACTTCAGAAAAGGGGGAGATCTATGAGGGCCCTGCATAGTTAGAGAAGGTTTAGGGAGGAGATGAGAAAAACTGAGATCTGTGATTTCAGTGGTATGGGCATTTCCTTTATAGATGGAGATAGCAACCCATTCTAGCCTTAGTAGGCAGTCTTTATGAGTTCTTTTTAAAACAAATAAACAAGAAAACATCCTCTGGAAGTTTTGTTTGTTTTTGAGTGACGAGTCTCTCAGAACTTAGCCACTGGATGACAGGTACACTGTCATGACATTTCTGGACGTGTACTCAAAAATCTGTCTGGCTTGGTAGTAATCATTTTGCAGTCAGAATACTTGGGTTTGAAGCCTGGCTCTGATACTGGGCAACACTGGTTAAGTCATTCTGGTCCTCAGTTTCCTTATCTACAAAATAAGGGTACTGAAATGACCTTTAAGCTATAATCCCATGACATGTAGAGGTTATGCTCTGTAGATACAGTGAGCATCATCATCTCTATACCATGATGAAACATGGGAAAAAGACTCTAGTAAATGGGGACCTGATATATAATCCATATATGTCAGCACATAAATATTCATTGGGAAAGAGTGGAGGAAGCTTTTAATTTGATTTCTATTTTGCAGAGCAGGCCATTTTGTGTAAATTTCTGTCAGAGCTGGGTAATTTGAATCATCTAATTGAAAGAACACTGATTGGATTGAGAATCAGGAGACAGGTGTTCTGGATCTGGCTTTGTCATTAATTAATTGTGTGATCATGGTCACTCTGTCTCTCAGGGTGTCAGTCAATAAGTATTTCTTAAGTGCCTGCTAGGTGTTAGACATCCTGTTAACCACCAGAGATTCAAAGAAAAGCCAAGTTTTAAGATGAGAGTATTGGACTAAATGTATAAGGGTACTTTCAGCTCTATGACTTCTACACAAAATTTCTATGTTGGCTATCTTCACTAAGCAGGCAGCAGATACTCCCACAATGCTATTGCTTTTTAGGTAATTTCTAGGAAAAACTACCACCACTTCTTTGCTAGAGCCCTTCTCAAACTGTACATTAATCCACAGGCTGCTGGACAAATAAGCAATTGCCCTTAGAAGTCGTCTGACCCTGGTATCTGAGCATACCTGGGGGGAAGTGAAAAAGTGAATGTCAAATGTCAGCTTTTACCAGGCTACAGTAGGATGTTGTAATCAACCAACAAGCATTTATTTATCAAATGCTGCGTCCAAGCACTGTATTAGGTGCTGAGGACACCAGTTCAAAGAAGACAACAATCCCTGTTCTCAAGGAGCTCACATTCTGTACCAAAAGTGTTCCATTTGGCATCAGGAGACATGGGTTTGTATCCTGCCTTCAGTCCTACTAGATGTTTTATAGAAGCAAGTCACTTAGTCACTCTGAGCCACACTATCCTCTTTTGTAAAATGGTGTATTAAATTTGTGTATTAAAATTTGTGAAGTGGTAATTGTAACTAAAGTGTTTGGTAAATATTAAAGTCTATGGAAATGTAAATGAGGCTGTTGTCTGTAACAGGCAAAAGTTTCATTTAAGATGCAGACTTCTTATTGTGAACTAAATCGGGGTGAACTGTACAGACTTGAAAAAGGGAGTAGCAAATTGGAAAGCCTCTTTTCTTCATCTTCCCTCCCTCCTCAATTCTCCCACTCATTCTGGGCTGCAATGCACAGTACAGCTTGAAATCTGGGTCAATGTTCCTGATTACTCTGATAGTTCGTGAAGACCAGAGCCAGCACAGGCTTTCTGGACTCAGATAATGTGAAAGACACAGCTGAAATAGAAACATAAATGAATAATTAGGTTAATGCCTTTCCATTAATGGGTACTTCCATTTGCTATGTAGATAAGGGAGGTATTTTCTGTTGCTAATTTTACCTGACTTCTTTTCTTATTCATGACCATATGTCACTGGTAAAAGGATTTGAGGAGGAAGTAGGATGTAACAGAAAATGGGCTGGACTTGGAGGCTGAGAGACAGGATTTCTAATAATGCCTCTGATACTTATAAGCTGGGTGACCAGGGGTAAGTAATTTATATCTATCAGCCTCAGTTTCTTCACATGTAAAGGGAGAATAATAATACCTGAAGTTCCTACCTCACCAGGTTGTGCGGATTGAATGAGTTAATGTAGTTCCTTGTAAAATTTCAAGGACTATGCAAGGTGTCCCAAAAGTCTTAGCATAACTGTGCTAAGATGTTCAGGACAACCTTTATAAATGTCAGTTGTTATTTTCAAGGAAGAGAATGAAATCACGAAGTAATGCTTGGGTCAAATACAAAACACCCTTTAGAATGGAACATTTTCCCTTCTTTTATTTTAAACTCTTGAGGATAGGGTCCTTGTGTCTCTGTCATTGGATTAGAGTGTAAAGTGTGCAGTGACATTCAGTAAATACCTATCCAGTATATTAGAACTATCATGGGGGATAGTAATCTGTTATAGGGAAGGGTTTAAACTCACTGGATAACAAAATCCCAGATCTGTGAAGTATTGAAATTTTAAAATCGAATACTGCATATTTAAATCAGTATTTTAACCCTGCATATTTATTACTGTGTATTTAAACCCCCAAACCAGAGAGTGATGGGGAAAAAACACTAGATTTGAAGTCAGAGGACTTGGGTACAAATCCAGACATCTCTATTCACTATTAGTGTGACTTCTGACAAGTTCCTTAATTTCTGTGGACCTCATCTGAAAAAAAAAAGAGGAGATCAATTATTTATCTTATCTATAACATAAAGGAGTTGGATTAGATGACCTCTTATGATTATATACGCAAAGGTCAGAAACATTGTTAGCTCATTAGGGAAAAGGAAGAATCCCATGGACTAATATTCTGCAAAGGAAGTCAGCCCAAGGAAAATGGAAAGTTCTCAAGAATAAAATTCAGAAGTCAGAAGGACAAAGTGGATGAGAAAAATACAGACTTGTTCTGCTTGACCCCCAAAGGCAGCACTGAGAGCAATGGGTGGACCTTGCAAAGAGGCAAATTTAAGTTGCTGTAAGGGAAAAAAGTAAAAGAAAATAGTTACCCAAAAGTAGAAAGTTTCTGCCTTGGGAAGATAGTGAGTGGGTCCCCCTTCACTTGTAAGGTCTTTAAACGAAGGCTGGATAGAAGCTTGTTTGGTATGTTTTAAAGAGGATTCTTGTTCACATAAATCTGGACTAGATGTTCTCTGAGGTTTTGAGGTATTCTATGCTTCTGGGACTAGATGGCCTCTAAAATTCCTTCCAGCTCCGAATCTATGATCTTATGATTTTTTTGAGGGATCACTTTTCCTTTTCTTTCCTATTTATCTTATTTTTGATACCTTAAATCTTAAAAAATCCATAGAAAGTACAACACAAATTTCCTATTTGAAATTATTGGTCTGAGAAATACAATTCAAACTCATGTGATCCAATCTGGGGAATATAGGATCTCTGTCTCTCTGTCTCTGTCAATCTCTCTCCTTATTAAATATCACCTTTCCCCCTTTTCCCACCTTTTAGAAGCACTCTGTGTTCTGCAAGCTTTCTTATGTCCACAGAGCCCAAACTTTGGCGGGTCCAAGCAAGCTGGGTAGGCTTTGAGTATGGTCATTTGAGTATAAACCTAGTTAGTTTTAGAGACACCACAGAAACACTTGCTACCAATTATCTCTTGTCCTGCCCCTGCCAACTCATAAAAACAGTGTGATTGGGTTCAAAGAAGCTGTGTAGTCTGTGCCCATAAGATGACATATCTATGCCAATGAAATAATCAATTCTTGAAATACTAATATAAATTTAGTTTATGATGTCTGAATACTAATCAAGTTCTAGTACCATTCCTATAGTCAAATCCTACACTTAGGAAAACCAATTTCTCTGAAGAAGTGATGACAAGCAGAGCAGGGAAGAGCCAAGTGTGACAATGATGCTATTTATACTTTGGAAAGGAATAGCTCCACTGGAGAGAGAAAAAAAAAGAATCATGTGTGAAATGTCAATATTTTCTGTAACTACCCTTTCTGAGGACATGAGAACTAATAGACATTATCCAGATCACACCACTCTCTGTCCTGTTACTCTTCCTACCTATCTGATAGCTTTCTCAGTTTCCTTTGCTGGATCCTTATCCAGATCACATCTCCTAACCATAACTGTCCTTCAGTGTTCTGTCCTGGACCCTCTTCTCTATTCTTTCTATACGACTTCACTTAGAGGTCTCATCAGTTCTCATGGATTTAATTACCATCTCCATGCTGACAATTCCCAAATCTACCTGTCCTGCCCAATTTCTCTGCTGATTTCCAATCTCACATCTTCAACTCCCTTTCAGATGTCTCAAACTGGATTTCCAGTAGGCATCTGAAACTCAACATGTCCAAAGGAGAATTCATTATCTTTCCTCCTAATCCTTCTCCCCTACTACCTTCCCTGTTACTTTAGTGGGCAAGACCAGCTTCCTAGTCCCCCTCTTGCAACCCAGGAGTTACCTTTGAGTCCTCACTATCTTTCAACCACCATATCAAATGTATTGCCAAGGCCTATTGATTTTACCTCTCTAAAATTTCTTGAATAGTCATCTATCTCTCTTC